CAGCTTTGACACCAGTACCCAAATATTTCATTTTATTGAGGGGAAAACTGTCACCACCCAAAACTTGAAGTTAATGAATAATATGCAAAAGATTAACATAAATTAACGAAAAATAGAATAGCGTGTTTGACTTATTATTCATGATGACATTTTAACTTTTCGATCATGTGTATGAGGCATACCTTGATGACTTATGAAAGTACGAGATAAAAACAAAGGAACCAGAAAATTTCAAATGCATAAACAGTCCACCAACCCATGTATTTTTAAATGTAATTCAGATCTACAGAGAAAATTAACAGCATACTTGGAAGTATTTTCAAGGGAGCAGTTTGCGTGCCAAAATTTGGAAACTGTTGCTTTAAAGCATGGGTGGTAAATATCAGAAACTTGAGATTTTTCTCATCTGCTGACTTCTGTTCGTGCAATTTAAGTCATTTCAAGAAATATATTTTACAGCCTGTTTCTATTTATTTAATCTTTTCCTACCTTCCAACAAAATTGGTTTCATTCTATAATTTCTTACTAATTGATATATCATTAGAACCCAAAATCTGTATAATTTACAGCACATAGAAACGTTGGTCCTAAATAGATTGCTCCTGGGACTATATATACCTGTACCTGGATATCATATCCTAATCAAGTTAAATACTCTGCATCCAGGTATGTTTGCTACACTTAGCTCGACAGAGAGCCCTTATCTCATTTTGATGTTACTTTACAAAACTTGACCATCGATTGACGGGGTTTGAAACTCACAACTGTCTGATTGCTAATGGCAATCACTTTTCACTCTTGGCAATGAACTTAGAAAAATGAGTTGTACAAGTCTGAATACCAATATGTTAAAATGGGTAATCTACATTTTCAAACTTGGAACTAGACATAGGAAATCACAACAATTGTACATTTAATGACGCCCATCACACTTCTGTTATCCGATGCTTGAGAAGAAATGAGACGCCTTGACATGATGACAAGTTTTATGAGTTCAATTTCCATAATTTGGTCTTCGTTGATAGATTTCTCGGTGCCAAGTAGGCAGCTTGACTTATCTAAAAAATCAAAGAGATCTCTCTTTTTGAAGAGTATAGCCTATATCTTTTATAAGAGCATCGTTTAGCAATAACTACTATAGCCTCTGGGCAACAGCCTTCAATGCACTGATTATAAGACTATACTCTTGGTAGAAAATTACAACTAACTATCTAATCTATATTATGGATTTAGGGGGTCCATTACATTGTTTATTTTGTTGTGGAGCCACTCAGTTAAACTAGAAAAACAGCAACTCCACGGAGTAGCAAATCCCACCGAACAAAACATATTATGCTTATTATAGCTTGTGTAAATGTTGAAATGTTTGTGCACTTTGTGATAGAAGCATGAAATTTGGCACAAAGTTAGTTTATACCATTGTGAACTAGGCATCATCATATAAAATTTGAACCAAATCCGTTCACTGGTATATGAGTTATCAAAGATTATATTTTTTACGAAAATTAGTGGCCATCTTGAAAATTATTTCTTGAACAGAGGTACTGTGTCCCTATAGGCATAATCATATAAAATTTCAACCAAATCTGGTCACTGGTATTTGAGTTATCAAAGATTACGTTTTTACGAAAAATTGCCGCCATTTTGAAATTAAGTGGCCATCTTGAAAAAATTTTGTTGAACATAGCTACTGTATCTCTAAGCATCATCATATAAAATTTGAACCAAATCCGTTCACTGGTATTTGATTTATCAAAGATTACATATTTTTACGAAAAATGGCCACCATTTTGAAAAAATTAAGCGGCCATCTTGATAATCTCTTTTTTGTGCAAAACTCCTTTGTCCCTATGCATCAGCATATAAAATTTGAACCAAATCCGTCAACTTGTATTTGAGTTATTAACGATTACATTTTTTACGAAAAATGGTGGCCATTTTGAATTGAGCGGCCATATTGAAAATTCCTTCTCGAGCAGAGGTCCTACACTCATAAGGCATAAGCCTATAAAATTTGAACCAAATCCGTCAACCGGTATTGGAGTTATCGCCCAGACACACAGACGAACGGACGGACGAACGGACAGACGGATGGCTTCTCTATATCCCCCTCGAACTTTGTTCGGTGGGATAATTATGATTTCTCTGCCCCATGATGTCCAATCAAGATCGAGTACCTCTGTGTTTCTGGGACACTTGCAGGGTATTACGTCAATATAGTGTTCAAAATTTGGGACATGGGTACATGAATGATCTTAATTGCCTTTGGACATCATTGTGCAGAGAAATCATAATTCTACTGAGCATGCAGCTCCACCAAAAAATAAACAACACTATGAGCCCCCTTAACTAACTAACATTAATATGGAGATGTGCTCACATAAGAGATTTTCTTACAAGGAGTCTACATGACAATAGAAATTGAAACAAGATGATGAGTTCTACTTTGGAGAAGTTTTCACATTTTTACATGGGTTTTACTGTTTGTGCTAGTTAACGAGTACCTTTGTTTTTATTTTGTTATGAACGTTAGCCTTTACCTGCCAGTGTTGAAGTATGCAGACAACTTGCGAAACCCATAAATATTTTATTAGCCTATGTGTGCATATCCATGTATAAAACAGCAAAACCTTTGCAAGTAGAGCACCTTAGTACCTCAAGTGTTCAATAGGGAGGTTTGGATATAGAGGTGTTCATATTACAGTACAGAGGTTCATTGAATTTTAATTAATGGATCATGGGATTCTAAAAAGCGTTTCACTTATGATGGTGTTCAAATTACAGAGATGTTCCACTTGACAGTTTTTATTGTATTTCAGATTTCTAACAGCAACACGGCTAACAGCTTATTTTGAAGAGCTCAGTTAATGAGACAAACAAGGTGTCTATCAAAGAGGAATTTACAAGTAACAAAATCAAATTCCAAAATTCAAATTGGAATTTTTTGATGATGCCTTAAATCTTCATTTGCTAGTCTCACTATCCTCTATTCATTCCAGATAATTTAACCGGTTTTATATATCTCAAATTCAGTTTTTGTGCTTTCAGGATATTCAGAATACCTAAATGACACAATTTTTGAACTACATTGGTTAAAATAGCTTAGAATAATAATCATATATAATTTTAACAAAAGATAGATGAACAATGCATTAATGCAAAATGTCACCAGCTGCAATTTGTTACAAATTCTAAGCACCGAACACCAACCACCAAGCATCAACCACCAAACATCATACGGCAAAAACCGTCCACATAATATTGGTCTGTTGAAGTAAAGATTTGGATTTGCATGATACTTAACATTCTGTTAGATTAATGCTCCTAGGTTTTACTCTATGCTTATTCTAATTCTGACGCAACATATCCTACACGATTTGACAATTTCAAGTTAAACAGAATTGACATGGTGATTTTGATAAGAGTTTCTTATGCTTTCTTTAAGGATAATTTTTTATTAAAGACCTGCAGATGTTACAATTTCATTCAGCATAGTACTTCTGGAATTATTTCTTTTAATGTTTCATGATAATCATACACCTAGAACAACAAATTGTAAAATGATGTTCAACTCTGGTATTTATACAAGGAATCTGCAACAAAATAACGAATTATGTCAGAAATCACCTGCTCAATATACTCCGGACAAATGCAGCACTCGATTTGCACTAATTTCAGTTGCACTAGATTCTGGTTACCGAATTCCCTGCTTTACATATTTGCCTGAGACTTACTTCCTGCGAAAGCTATTTGGATTTTGATATAATAGCTTTCCCACAGAGCATTTGGACAGCTCAATGATCGTGACCTTTGAAATCGAATTAAGTCGACCCGCGGCTTACTTTTGGTCTCTAACTGTGTCTTACATCAGTATCATCAATCCGTGTAAGTATTGGAGTGCTGGAGTACTTCTTTTTCGATCAAGACTTGTAATTGTTAGTCGAGTGAATCGTTTTACTGCCAAATTCCAATATGGCGGTTTCTGCTCGGACATTTTCGTAAATCTCCGGAGGTTGTCCGAACCTAACTAATTCTCAAAATTCATTTCGTTCGTTGCGTATCTCGCACCTAGCAAACCGCCATATTGGAAATAGGTCTAAAAAACTTTCACTCGATGAACAATTTACAAGTCCTGATCGAAAAAGAAGTACTCCAGCGCTCCAATACTTACACGGATTGATGATACTGATGTAAGACACAGTTAGAGACCAAAAGTAAGCCGTGGATCGACTTAATTCGATTTCAAAGGTCACTATTGATCAGCTGTTCACTTCTCCGTTTGAGAGCCATAAGTTTCAAAATCTATGGCTCTCGAAGTGAGTAACCTGAGACCATCATAATTTTTATGTTAGTCTTAGATATTTGCAGATTACGAATTCTTCTGAACTCATTTATATCCCAATGTATCTATTGTGGAGCAAAAATTACATTCACATGTGTCGGGTAGATATAGTATATGCACTCTAACAGTGATCTACAGATAATTCCCTTCTGAAGCATATGTTAATTTCACTATTTTCATAAAAATAATTTAGACTCTATAATGAAATTCTTTGCATTCCGCAGATAATAAAAATAATCCTCAAAAAGTGTGCGAAAGAAAGAGGAACATGTAAAATGTAAAAATATCTGAAAATTGTGAAATAAGAAGGGTCATCATCTGACACTAGAAAACCCCAAGCTCCAAAACAATTTCCCATTGTCTCACTTGAGACTTGACATTGCAACTGTCAAAAAAATGCACACTTACCAGTCAATGTATACGCCACAGGAATCAACAATGCACCTAATAAAATCATCCATAATGATAGCTTCGTATATAGTCTTGTTAGTCCCATGTTTTATTTGTGTTATACATAAGGAAATGTCACATTATTGCATATTTTGTCGGAGTATTTATTTTCCAACTTTCCTTTTCATCTTGGTAGCGCCATCTGCTGTATCAGCAAACTCTTTCGCTGTAGCGATTTTCAATTAAGAAATTTGATAGTTCTTGTTATGGAAATATGCCACAAATCAAACTTCTCCACTTTTTATCGATTTTATATGAATAAATTGCACTTCTGGTAAGTATTAGATATTAAATTTAAGTTCTCGTATATCCATGGTATTGAATTCACATCAAAAACTCACCTTAAAACGAGTGAGTATTAATGAAACAAGTTTGTAAAGTTTTGTTGATTTTAAAAATCAGGAAATATACAGTTTGGAAGATAAATATAAATAAAATGACAGGTGGATTTGCTGAAGTGAGGATTTCTCATGTTAAATAAGTTTTTTCAACAGGCCATGCATCAGTGGGTGAGATAAAATGTAAAATACACAAATTTTAGGGATATGTATCTAGAGGGTTTGTAGAAAAAAACGGGTACCAGGTAGTAAATCCTCCATGTTGGGTTCAAACTTGGTACTCGGTACCCATTCGAAAAAACCGGGTACCCCAAAAAACAAAAAATACGAATATATAACATAATAAGATCATTAGAAAACGTGTAAGATTTGTTTTGAATTTACGTTTGTAACTTCGTCCTTCAAAATTGAGCTAGAAGCTTCAAATAAAAAGCATTTTAAGACTCTTTTCTTCCTCTATCATCATGGTCATATTTTCATTGGTTATGGGGGGTTGCGATCGCACCATTGCACCCCCTCCTGGCTACGCCTATGACATTGTTAGACGTAACAACTTTTACACTTCAGTGGATGTTTCATCGAAAATTGGGATAACTTAAATTATGATAAATAATCAAAATCTTACACATTGCATCATGTAAATTAACACACGTCATAATCACGTAAATCATAATCAAAACAATTCACGTACCAACATACAAACTTTTGATAATAGAATAAGATTGATTTGTCATGTTTTTCAAATCGTCTTACAATGTCATAGGTGTAGCCAGAAGGGGGTTCGATGGTACCCAGTACCCGGTTTTTTCTACAAACCCATATCTAGACAATATTGGAAATTATGGGCTTTCAGACAACCATGATTAGGAAATGGTGATCGAAAATTGACCTGTCATTTATTTTGGTTCCCAACTGTAGATCTCACAGGGACCGAGGTTTGTATGGGAGATCCGGTAGAGCTTACTCTACCAACCTGACAGAAGTCAGGTGGCCTACATGTATGTTCAGTAAGGTATATATAGAACCTTCATATGTTCTAAGCTCCTTTATATGAAGCCTTGGAGACACTCATTTTGGTAAATATGATTTACGGTATATACTTTTCTGCAGATTGGGGGAGTTTGGGACATTAAATGTTAAAATTCAAATATTCGACTTATTTTGTATCGGCATTGCAATAAAAAAAAATTACACAAAAGGGGCTTAAAGCCAGCAATTGCCAATGGGGTTGTGGTTTTATGGGTCTGTATCACTTTGAATGAAACCCCTGACATTTTTTACAAATTACATTGTATATATAGTGCATTCTAAGCATTTCAAACTATTGATAATGTTTTTTCAACAAATATTACCAAATTTTTGTGGGGGTTGGGGGTGCAATTGCGATTCAACATATATAATAACCAGTTACTCTTAATGAAAACACATCCTTAGCACATGATTTCATTCTGTGTTTTCATGAACAGTAAAAAAATACGAAGCAATTCATGAACTAGTTGCTGAGAAATTTGACTAATGATAACACATTTTTCAAAAATGGCATCACTGAATGACTACTATGCATTGACATGTGGAAAATTTGGGTTTTCTTTGAGTTTTCTGTGGCAGTCATTTCAAGCACAATTTAGGTACAATTCATTGACCATGTAATTAATCCTCGATTGAAAGTCGCTACTACAGCCTCAGCTAAAATAGCTAGTCCATATGGCTCAGGGGTATATAGAGCATCTGACTTATGAGTGGAGGGTTCTGGGTTCGATTCCTGCATAGGGCATTGAATTAAGCACACTCTCTTTCATGTCAAGTGTCCCGCTCGTTAGACTAAAGCTCCCCAGATGGGCATGCCCTCCGGTCATTACAACTCACCCACCTTGAATTCTCATGTAAGTCAGAATTTCCTGCCTTGTCATCTGTTTTCTTTCTACATTAACAAGAACTGCTTACAAACTTTTTTCAAGATGTTCTACGAGAAGAGAGCTTTGGGATCAGATTTTTTGTTAATGCAATGTAGGGAGTTCTTAAGAAAATGACATATATTTTCAATTTAATGCTGTAAATTATTCAAAAATACAAAATTGTCTGCCTCAATTCAATGGGGTATATGGAACTACTGTATACAGATTATGGGAAAGGATATATGTGAGTTTTGCCAAAATGTTAAATGGGATTTTTTACTATTTTCATGAAATTGTTGCTACATTCTACAAAACAACAGGGAATGTTAATAAAAGTGTAACGACCCTGGATAGGAAGTTGCTACTACAGCCCAGCTGGCTTAAGCCTTTATTATAGCTCAGTCAGTAGAACATCAGTCTGGTTCGACACACGGGCCATTGAATTTAGCATACTTTCTTTCAATTTCTTTATCTGGCTTGTTACACTATGCCCGTTAGTTAGTCATTCCCCTGGGGCACCCTCGGGTCACTACAAAAGATAACCATAGAAAATCATTTGTTTCTTGTTGCTAATGAAACCATATAATAGAAATTGATTTTTTTATCTTTTAAAAAGATTCTCTATTTAAAAGATTTCATATGACTTTAACTAGAAGTAAAGACGTTAAACCTCTTGTATGATTGTTAACTGATGTCAGAGTTCCCGGAATATTGATTGTTAACCAGATCAACAGAATAATGCACATATTAAACTGATACAAGTATGTGAGTATTGTTATTAATCCAGCTGTTACTTTACAAAACAGGTCAGGTTTTCCAATACAATCTCAGTATCATGTTAAACTAATATGCTTGAATTGAATACTTTTTATTTGCACTTATTGATCATTGCAGATGCATCCTGATCAAACAGACTTATATCATGGGATCCAACCATGCATATACATTGGCAACTGCACTCGTACTACTTACACTCATTGCTAGGACCCTGGCAAAGATAAACAAGATATATCACCATGGTAACATCGCCAGGGAAATTGATACTCTAAGTTGGGCAGTCGAGATCAAATCAGGTACCAATTCGAAGGATGTCCTAGATGATTTAGCATATGCTGTTGCCTTGGATACTGGATTAACCAATCATGGCCAGATTGGCAAATTAAAAGGCCATTATTTATTTTACCATACAGATCATGATGCTTTTATGAAAACTTTTCAAATGGAGTACTACAACCATTCCGAGTCGCTACTTAGGTACATTGAAAAAGATGCTGATATTTTGAATGAAGTCAGGGAGAAAACTGAGCTTATATTGAATAAACATCCTTATGTAGAATCTGCATTACAACAAGTGATACGAGCAAGACACAAGAGGTCAATAAACTTCAATGACCCTGCTTATCCCAGACAGTGGCATTTGGTGAGTATATTTCATATTTATCATATTCTATCATCTCTCCATATCCTCTAGAGAATAAAACTTCTTTCTTGCAGACACTTTCACAGGTGTTTGGTTAAGAAAACTCAAAAATATTTCTTTATGATGTGTTCAACAAATAAATATGTGTTAGTCACTCATATGCATCTTTAGGTATGAAGAAATCATCAAGATAATATTATTGACGTAATCATATTCAACACTATGAAATTATAAGCAGCATTGTGTATTTGTTTTATTCCAGCACAATCACCAAGATGCAGGAATGGATATTAATATTACAGGTGTATGGGAACACAATATTACAGGTAACTTGAAGAAATCATGGAATTTTTTGCATAAATTGTATGTCAAAATCAGTTTTATTCATTGTAAGTTTGCATTCTCATTTCACATTCTCATAACTGTGAAACTTAACTTGGTCCAAAATTCTAATTTTATCAAAGAAATTTCCAAAATTGATCAAAATATCTCTTTTTTCCACCTGGCTACAAATAGTCAAATGTTCACCTGTTCACAACATCATTGTACAGTATAATATGTAAATGACTCTCTCTATTCTTTATATCACCCTGTAGGGTACAACATCACAGTTGCAGTAGTAGATGATGGTCTCCAGTGGGACATCAAAGATTTGAAAGACAACTACAATGCTAGAGGGAGTTATGACCTCAATGGAAATGATCCAGACCCCATGCCAAGTCCAAGTAAAGGTAAGGAATCATCATTTGATATACACTTAGTACATAAAGAATTGAAAATACAATCGTTAAAGTACTGCTACTTTTGGCATTAATTCAAAGATATGTAAGTTGACCTCAATAGTAAGTTGACCTCAATAGTAGGTACCTCAAGTTTGAGGTAAATAAAGGGGAATCTTTATCAGACTGCAGGAATTAACATGTACTTTACATTAAATCTATAACCAATCTCTCATCAAAAATTTTAAAGACACAGAGGTTTTATTAGCTCACAAGGGTGACCTATTGTATTAATATATACGATATACAGTCGTGTATTTTAATGGTTTTAGGTCAGAATCATCATGGCACAAGATGTGCAGGGGAGATAGCTGCTGTTGCTAACAATGACTTCTGTGCAGTTGGTGTTGCTTATGGCTCAAAGATATCAGGTATGAATGACTAGGATTAGGCTACATTATTTGATTCCATCTATTTTATATAAAGGAGTAGAAAGTGCTCATAAAACAAAACATCAAATATCGGAAGGGTTTTCAATGATGAATCAGCAACTCAGGGACCATATATTTTTTCCAGTCAATACATAATGCCAAAATGAAAATTGAGATTAGTGACTATTTATTCACTGTTTGGTTGTGTTTCAGGACTAGGGGTGCTAGATGGCCCAATGACAGACAGCTTAGAGGAGGAGATACATTGAACATGAACATGGAAGTGAATAATTATGTGATCTCTGATTGGTTGTGTTTCAGGACTAAGGGTGCTAGATGGCCCAATGACAGACAGCTTAGAGGCAGATGCATTCAACATGAACTTGGAGGTGAATAATTATGTGATCTCTAATTGGTTGTGTTTCAGGACTAAGGGTGTTGGATGGGCCAATGACCGACAGCTTAGAGGCAGATACATTCAGCATGAACATGGAAGTAAATAATTGTGTGATCTCTGATTGGTTGTGTTTCAGGACTAAGGGTGTTGGATGGGCCAATGACAGACAGCTTAGAGGCAGATGCATTCAACATGAACATGGAGGTGAATAATTATGTGATCTCTGATTGGTTGTGTTTCAGGACTAAGGGTGTTGGATGGCCCAATGACAGACAGCTTAGAGGCAGATGCATTCAACATGAACATGGAGGTGAATGATGTGTACAGTTGTAGCTGGGGGCCAGATGATGATGGGAAGACAGTAGATGGACCACATTACCTTGCCCAGGTAAACAAATTTGACCTTGCTTTACATAAACATACAATATATTTTGCAATGTTGTGATTTCATCAGTTTTTCTCAGGACACTTGTCACTAAATGTTGTAGCTATGCATTGTTGTACAAAATAATAAGGAGTATTATTCTCTATTGTAAACTACTTATTTTACTACTAAACTGACAGATTCTTATATCTAATTGTCTTGCTTTTACTTACACTTCATTTAATTAAGGCTGCATTGAGGCATGCAGTAAATTTTGGTCGCCATGGTTATGGCAACATTTATGTATTTGCAAGTGGTAATGGTGGTTTAAATGGGGATGACTGTAACTATGATGGATATGCTAATTCTATATATACAGTCACTATAGGTATGGATTCAAAACAACATAGAAGTCAAATCTAAACAGAGGGGTACTTATTTATGTATTCATATTTTATGTTGGGTGTTTAGGGCTTAAAAGGAGTAAAGATGTATTGATATCTGGTTGATAAAAGGTGAATTGATAACTGGTTGGGGATGTAGTAAAACCTGATGTTCAGATAAGAGTGGTGTTCCGGTATACAGGTTTTACTGTATACTGTTCTGCCCCTGGTGTAATTCTTTTAATTGTACATACAAGACATCAACTTAGGTGATTATCAAAGAGTTCAATAAAAGTGTGAGACCCTTGGTCCTATCCACTCTTATAGTTGGTGTGTGTGTGAGAAAACTAGATATACTCTTTAACATCACATTTTCTTTTCTTTTTAAAAAGTAGATGGAACTATGAGATGACTAGAAATAATGATTAGAATTTTACTTGAGTTTTAAAGAAATGCTGAAGTTCATGTATATCTATATCAATGATTTTGATTTTGCGACCTTTTCACTGCTTTATTTATTTTCATTTTATATATTTTTATTTGTAAGGCTGCTATGAAACATGGTGTGGTTTATGGTAGAGGTGGTTATGGGAGTGTTTATGTGGTTGCTAGCGGTAACGGTGGTAACATTGGTGACAACTGTAACTATGATGGTTATGCTAGCTCTCTGTACACTGTAACTATAGGTAGGTTGTCATGATGTATTTGAAGGTTTGTACAATTATCACTCCTCCAAGTTTTCTGCAAGTTAAGTGGAACTATTCAAACTGGAAAATATTTGTGGTAAAGGCAGTTTATTCATCACATGTCTTGCGTATTCTGAAAATAGATCAATTCCACAAGAAGCTCTGAAGACATTTGTCAAGCTGGACATAATGCAACTTCATGAACCAAAGCTACTTGTAACTACAGTCTGCAAATGCAGAAAACAAGGAGGAGTGATCAAGATCAAATTACTGGATATAAAATAATTTATATTAAATGATTGTAAGTTTCCATGCATTAGTAAACTACACACATTTTTTAATAAAAAGGTTTATGTAAAATGTATATGGGATATAGGTAGTACTGCTAAAGAATTATATTCATAAGGGAACAAAATTCCAAGTAAAGCATTACCAAAAATGCTTTTTTTCTATTCTATGGAAGTAAAGTATTGATGCAAAGCAACTGCCAGTAGATACTACCATTGACATGATAGTGTTACAAGGCAGTTCTTAGCATTGTAGCGTTTAAAACAACCCAATAATCCGGGAAATTACCAAGAATAAGTAGCATAATGGTTCTTTTGGTCCTTTGCCTTACTATAATTATAAAACTACTTGGTAATGATATATGCATACATAACTGTATACAGGGTGTTCAAAAAGTACCAGATCTGCCACATTGTTAATGGCCTTCAGGACTGTCAATAGATGGCGAAAAATTCAGAGGGTTTAATAGCATACTTTAACATGTAAAAAATGTTCCAAAAATCTCCCAAGATAAATTTTCTTGAAAATATCCAAAACTTCTAATTTTGAATCTTAAAACATGTTTGTAAATAATGATGAAGGAAAATATGATATTTATTTGATATATTTAGAGAATTTGAAGTTTCAAAACAGCAATATTTACACATTAACCAATGGGCCAGTTGTGGAGAACAACCTAGTAGTTAACTGCCATCTATACGAGTCCTGGCTCCCATTGAACACAATTATTATCAAAATCCAAGCGCTGGAACTGTTACTTTGAGTGACCCTGTATTTCCCATATCATTATGAATCAAAAGTAATTCAGGGATATTTAAATTGGAAATATGAGTCCTTTCGAAATGCCAGCACAAGCCCTGTTACTTTTTGGTTACCCTGTATTTCTTTATGTAGGTGCTGTAGATGAGCAAGGTGTGATGCCTTACTATGCTGAGGAATGTGCTTCAATGTTGGCTGTAACATTTAGCAGTGGCAGTGGATACAGGAGGAGTATAGTAAGCTTTTGTATATATTAGGTCCTTTTGATGAATTAATCTTTCATTGAACAAAAATACATTTATTAATAAATGGAATTTATGAATGATGTTCAACTTAATGGCGATTAAAAATCAGGGTTCTAGTTAGGATCTAAAAATAGATGAGATAAATTTAAATAGGTGAAGCAAAACTGAGTTAATCAATGTAATATATCATGAAACCTCATTTTCACTGTCTCAAATGTTGACATGGGTTCTCATTAAATACCAAATAGTCGGGTTTCAAATTTTATAATCTTTGAAAAATGTATATTTCATATTTACAGGATGTTGTTATTATGTCCATTAAGCATTAGCAAAGAGATGGTCTATTCTCCATAAATAACATTTGAAGAAAATAATGACATTTTGTTCTGGCACCTACAAATCTACATTATATGAATATATGCAATGTTGAATACATCGTACATGCATGAAATACAAGTGTATGTTACTTATGAATATATGTTTTATACAGTGCATGATCACATGTATATGCTGTATGAATAATACTCTATTATATGTACCATATCTAGGTGACAAGTGACTGGACAATGAAGGGGGGTTCAGGGTGTACTGACAGCCACTCAGGGACAAGTGCAGCTGCCCCATTGGCTGCGGGAATGGTTGCTCTCATGCTAGATACCAACCCTTGCCTTACTTGGAGAGATATACAGTACATTATTGTATTAACCTCAGTCAAGGTTGGTCTTTATGTTAAGTCCCTAATGCAATGCACCCTTTCTGGGTTAAATAAGGACTGATATTGGTCTGGTGGGGCCGCTTGGTGTCCTCCTCAGTCATTATGTAGTATTAGAAGCTCTGAAAAGAGTTCATTAACTCCCACCTGATATATCAAATGTCTTCTAGTGATATGATACTGAAATCCGATTGGTCTTACAAAAAAGTATTTTCATTTTATAGGTAGATGTTGATCTAGCCCACTGGCAGACAAATGCCGCTGGATTACACCATAGCCACAAACATGGATTTGGTCTGATGAATGCATGGCGTCTGGTCAATACAGCCAAGGTGAGTGATCGAAAATGGGTTAAATTTTGGGGCTTAGTCTTTAACATATTGTCTGCTCTTTGTTTAGTTTGGGATGAGTCTACAAAATGGATGTTTTAACCATAGCTCAAGATAAGATTACAACCAGATTACAACAACTATTTAAGTGTAATTTGTTCGATTTCTGTCAAAGTATTACATATCAGTATCATTTAGGATGATAGTAGACACGTTGGTTGCTTAAAATCATTTAATATTGGTTGCAATTTGTTCATCTCAAATTAACTCACCTGTGTTCAATTTATTATAGATTATAGACTTAATTAAGGAATATTTGTTATACAGGTATGGCGTAGTCTTCCATGGATGAGCTCATATGCATCAAGCAAGATGCAACATGATGAGGAAATACCTAAAGAACCAAACAGCCTAAAGTTGAAATATGAAGGTGGGTTGAGAAAGCACAATCAACAGTTCTAGATCTAAAGCCTGACTGATGGACAAAGAGGTCCTGAAATCTAATTGGTTTATAGGCAAAATTACTACACCATATTTTACTTTTAAAGTTATAATCACATAAACATTACCACTACATACGTATAATATGTAAAACTCCCAACTACAATAATCTTTTGCTGAATGCATTATTATGAATGAGTTCTATTCTGTGTTCCAGTGACAGAGGAAATGTTAAGTGGCTTTGAGTTAAACACACTTGAGTATGTCCAAGTATCTGTGAGCCTAGACCACCAACACAGAGGACATGTTAAGATTCTCCTCTTAGACCCGCATGGTGCTATATCTGTGCTAGGTGCCCCCAGACCACATGATAGGTATGACCCTCTCCTTTATACTCATGTTTTGAAAGTGTACATTTATTAAATCATATCAGTCTCTTGTTATCATGTAGAGTATACTCACAAGATTGCCCCCCCCAGTCTCTTCTGACAAGTATTCAAAATACATGTGAATGAATGTTAAGAGCTGAAGAAATATTCCATGCAAGCTAGTATATAACTGATGTATTAGGCAGCCATTATGTGGTGACATTTTGCACGAATGTCTCGTTGATTATGACAATCATATCAAGGCAGTAATTGTCTTGCAGGTAGTATTCATCTCAGAAGTTAGTTTTTCTTGATTAAAGATGTGTCTATTTAATAACTTTTAGTTCTGGAGCTGGTCTGAGAGATTGGCTGTTTAGTACTGTGAGGTGCTGGGGCCAGGTACCCTATGGTGAATGGACATTAGTCATCTCTGACACAGGTATGTCAACACCCCTAGTTGTATCTGAAATGTTACCCCCACACTGTTATATTTGATACATGTTTTGACTCAGAAATATGTGTGAAGCCCATGTAGATTACAGATATGTATTGTATTGTTTGAATCTCCTTTTGAAATGTTTTGAGATTTTTTAATATAAGCACCATCATATTTCATTAGCATTGCTTCTCTTGTGTGTCAAGTGTCAATCATATGATATCTGATTATTGTTTTGATTTAGGTCCCAAACACATCCCAGCTGGTAAGATGTTGTCATGGCAACTGAGACTTTATGGATCATCCTTGACAGCTGAAGATGTTGCAGAAAGAAAGAGGTAAAATGTTGCTAGAGTAGAACAAGTACTTACATTTTTTATACAGAATCAAATTTCAAATATTATAATAGTACATGGTTTATCTAAGAAGCATTGAATGAGATTAATTAAATCTTAAAGTGGAGCTAAACTTGAGATATGATACATTACAAATTTACCTGGTAGGGGTAGAACACAAATATTCCTGTCAATTAGCAGATGGTCTCAAGTTCAAGTCATGATATTTGAGTTGATTTGTCATCCTCTAGCCTAACATACACACATACCTTTGTAGGCTGGTAGAAGATGCATGTAGCGGGGGTATACTAGGTTCCAATAGATCGGCTGTGTGTAGCCCACCCCCTGTTGTGGCCCCAGTATATGAACCTATGGCTGAAAGGACAATCAAAGTAAGTAGCCTCAGAAAAGGAGCGTGTAAGCACCCATCCTTTTTGGGCACAATGAGTATTTATTCAACCTTATTTAGACTGATAAGTTAATATAAAAGTCAACTTTTTTATAATCTGAATTTTACTCAAGTTTTTCAAATAATTGCGAGTCATGCTGCAAAATTGAAAAATTGACCAACATTTTCTTGTTGAATGATCTCCATAGATTACTACCTGAAAATGTTCAACAGAATAAGTGAAATTGCATTATGAAATTCCTGATGCCATGATCCATGAAATTCAATGTAAATGTATTACACATACATGTATACAAATTTCTGTTCCAGGTGCTTGTATTGGCCAGTGCCTTCTGTTTGTTTATGGCCTTATATGAAACCTGGGAATATGCATTTTGCTACAATGATGAGAAAAAAGAACATGAACGAAAATGGAAAATATTTGTACGTGCTCATCGGGAAAGTACTCGAATTCAGGCTGGTAATGACAGTCGTGGTAATTATGAAGCCATTGAAATGTCAGAGAGGACACATTTAATTGATGACACCCCTAGGGAAGATGAAGAAGAGACTATATTCATTCAACCACAAAGACACACACAAAATGATGACATCACAACAGTAAATGATGACATCCTAGATAATGGTGATATCTCAAATTTAAGTATTATTGAAAACAATGACACTTACGACGATGACGCTAATGATAATACACCATTACTTCCACGAGGTAAAAATCCACTCCAAAATGGTGACATTGCATTAGCTCATAAACAATCTGAATCTGAAAATGGTGCAACTGGTGTTTGCAAAGTGCCTAATAACATAAATGCTCATAAAAATACCACAGATGGTGGAGGTGATACAAACAAACTGACATCTAGTCAAGCATTAGTCTTTCAACCCCAGCTTGAGGGGGAATCTGCAGTAGGAGATGCTTCGCTTTTTAGTAATTTTGAAATCCCAAGAGAAATTCTCGAGACATTGACTGAGGATGAAATCAAACTCAACATGAATATGGGGAAGTGATATACATGTAGATGTTGTATATTTTTTCCAGGTTTTATACATATCGAATTTGGTTATGATTTGAATCATGTAGGAAC